TTCTTCTTCTTCTTCTTCTTCTTCTTCTTCTTCTTCTTCTTCTTCTTCTTCTTCTTCTTCTTCTTCTTCTTCTTCTTCTTCTTCTTCTATTCTATTTCTTGGATTTTTACAAATGTGTATTTAATCTAAGTGACTCTCTTAAATTATCAAGATTCATTTCCACGAGATTTGAATATTAATATGGTTTGATTACTAACCTAAGTTTTTTTGAAATTGATCGTTAAAACCGTGAAGTTGCTGGAATTTATTATTTGAAATTTATAATCGATCATCGAAATTTGCAATGTTCACTTTTAATTTTAATCCGATATATATCAATTTTCGTGTTCAATATTATCAATGATACGTTAGAGATGACTAAATCAAATATTTTATTCTTATTTTTTATTTGAATTATTTTACAATTTTTAATTTCTAATCTTGTCACCATTAGATTGAATATAAATGGAAGTAATAATTATTTATTAAAAGAAATGTGTACTGTGTTTTTTTTACGTATTGGAGATATGAAAAGTTCTAAGTCTAGCATGTGAAGACATTCTACGAAACAGGATGACATAGCATTTTATGCATTGTCTAAACCAGGCAATGTGCGTAATAATATTTACTTACACGAAATACATAGAAGAAAATATAGGAGGACTGAAAAGTTCTGAGTTTAGTATGTAAAGAGTTGAAAATTTTTTTGTGTTTTACGTCATAATTTTTTCAAGGTTGCCCCGGAAATTTTTCCTACTTGCAATTAGATAATTCTTAACAAACATAGTTAGTGTATAATTAATAAGAAAGAGCGCGAGAAGAAATTTTATTTAATATCCTCGTTTTTTTTTAATGATCCAGCATATTTACTAATAAATTCATTTATAAGATTACAATCATATTCTCAAACAAACTGGAACATAATTGTTATACGTTCGAAACGAGATCGCATTTAAGTCAAAATAATATTTAACAAAATGACGAAACGATAAAGATAAAATATCATACAAGAGAAATAATCTCACGAAATTGTTGATCGTAATAATTGATAAAGAATTTAATAATAGAAACGAAAGTTACATTAAATTCTTTTGTCGGTTCGTCTACACTTTACTGACGAATAGGTCGAATAAAAAAAAATAAAAAAATACGGAAATAAAAGCAGATGAGGATGAAGAAGATGAAGAAGAAGATGAAAAAGAAGGTGATGGTGAAGGAATGAGAGGAGGGAGGGTTGGGAAGAATGGTGGAGCGTGGATTCGGGAAGCGAGGGTTGTTGAAAAGAGAAGAAAGAACGAAGAAGAGCGATAAGAAGATGAGATAATGAAGAGGATAACCGACGTGGAAAGTTTATGAGAAATAGATAGAGATAGATTAAATGGAAACTGAGTGAGTGAGAAGGGGTGAGAAGAATGATGAGAAGGAGGGAAGGGGTAGTGGAAGGAGAGAGGAAATGGACGAGAAAGGCACGAGAAAGAAGGTAAGAACGGTAAGGAGCAAGGATTCACACGGTTCGAGGACTGGCATAGCGGTCCTAGCGGTAGATACTTGCGAATAATGGGCTCATTTACATACCTAACTATATATATGTACAAGTATATACTATATTCTGAAATGAAAAAGTACTCGACGACATAGATCGTAACATAAATCGCATATGCATATACGTAGATTAGTATAACTCATACCTGGTGGATCCTATATATTTTATATATATAACATATATAAGTTATATAAAGTATATATAATTTATGTAAATAACTTTTGACCTATTTAAAAATTGTTATATACTCTATCAGTGTATGGTTGACCCTAAAAATCTATAACATTTTAATTAATATTTTTTTATATTTCTTAGAGTAATATATTATTTCTCGAATAAAAAATTCACACGAGCATAAATATTATTTTACCATCTGCATTATCCATTTGGTATTTTTATACATATGTATATATTAGGTTTACCGGAAAGTTCTGTCCATTCGGAAAAACACCAGTTCAATTTTTCGTCTCTAGAGATAAAACATTTTTTAAAAATGCAATATACATATTATCATCACCTATGAAAAGAAATTATACATAATGATAATTGATAAATATTAGTCAATAAAAGAGATATGAAAATTTATTACTTTTGTCTTACTCTAAAAATTATAGTATCATAATATCATATATATGTATTATTTTATAGAATATTCATTTGGTATTAATTTTATTTTTTAAGAAACAGATTTTGTTGGATAATTATTTTTTTCAGAATAAAATAATAATTAAAATGTCATAGATTTGTCGAAGCAACCACATACACTGATAGAATATGTCAAAATTTCTTAAATAGGTCACAAGAGTTCATTGGTTATTATAATAATTAATTGGTTCCTCTTTTTTTGAAACTTTTTAAGTTAATTGTTTTGCAGATGGTAAAAAAGTAATTAGGATCATATATTTACAATTTAAACAAAATAACATAAGTTTAGAAAGTATAAAAAAGTAATGAGTAATTTTTAATATCATCTAAAAACTTTTGACCCATCCTGTACATAAACATCCGCGTATTTGTTGCCAAAGAAAAAATCAAGTAAGAAAGTTTGACGTCATATTTCATAATTCATTCATAAATCATGTACACGTACGTATTCATGTAAATATAATACTTTAAGTCAAGATCATAATTTAATAGAATGATCGAACGAAAATAAGTTTTGACATAGAATTTCATTTTCTTTTTTTCTTTAAAAACAAATTCTTCTCCCAATAATCGCACACAATTATTTTACGTAATTATAATTAACAGATACAATCTTTTTCATGACACTTTGATAAATTCAACAATGTATGATCGTCATGAAAAGAAAAGAAAGAAAAACAAAGAAAAAGAAAAAAATAATATAATCACAACTCGAATCAACTCGACGAAGATTAATAATAAACGTAATTAATTAATTAGCTGGAAAGTATACTAATCTGATCGTCGTATTACATTATAAGTATGTATGTGCATGCGAGTAAATAAGTATAGTTAAAAGAAACACGTGTTCGACGTGTTGCGGCTCGTTTCAGTTACTAAATCACTTTGCAACATTCTAAGTCCAAAAGATAAAAAAAAAACAGGCAAATTAGCTTTGGAAAGAAACGATAACGATCATCCAGAGTATAATACATAAATATGTATACTCGTATGAAAACTTAAGGAGAGACCGTGAACGTTAATCAGGATCACGATAATGAAAACGTTAACCTTCTATAATCATCATATTACTTTCAAAGTCTTAAAAATAAAATACACTAACACATTGATTTTGCATTTTATATATCATCATATAATTATTAGGTCATTCGTATATATGTATATTTAAGAAGTGTTATTAAATGTTTTTTTTTTTAGATCTATTGTAAATTATATTGAATATAATAAATATATACCGGAAATTCAAATTGAAAGGATATAAAATTTTAAATTTTAAATAATTAACATGAGAGATACTTCTTCCGATAAATTTGATTTTAAGATAAATATATTATGACATTTATTTTATTTTCATTTAATAAAATAATTCAAGACTATATTTCAAGGTTCATGCTGCTTTTTAAAATAAAAATCAGCATTTATTGTAATGGAAATATATGTGACATGTAAAACAAAAAATAAAAAAATATATAAAAATACGTTTAAAAAGATTTTCTTAGAATTTACACGTAACCTCTAGTATTAAGAATAAAACAATCTTCGCATTTATGATTGGAAAAAAAATATTTGCATTTACGCAAAGTTTATATAAAAAAAATTATATTAATGATAAATATTATTCATATATGTTCCATTTAC